CCCCCCACTGGGAACTGAGTGAAACTAGGGCATGTGCCCTGACCAGGAATCAAACCGCCATCTCCTGGATCATAGGTTGATGCTAAACTGCTGAGCCATGCTGGTTGGGCTATGAATAACCTTTTGAAAGTGACTTTTTTCACTCACCATATTGATTTTGAGATCCATCATGTTGAGTATATTAATAGTTTTTTTTAATTGCTGAGATTTCTGTTGTCTAGAGGTACCTCAGTTTGTGAGTCCATTCACCAGTTGAAGGACCTTTGGGCTGTTCCCTGCTTTTTGTGATGATGACTGTTCGTAATGTTTTTGCGAAGGTATGTTTTCATTTCTCTAGGGTTAATACCTAGGAGTGGGTAATACCTAGGAGTGGGTATCTGTCAGTGTGTGCTTACTCTATGAGACACTGCCAAGCTGTTCTGCAGAGGGGCCGTCCCACTTGGCAGTCCCACCAGTGAGATAGAAAGGCTCTGCTTGCTTCCTCTCCTTGTGAGCACGTGGCATTGTTGGTGTTCTTTTTGGGGCCACATTAGTGGGTGAGTAGTGGTATCCTCACATGGTTTTAGTTTCTGTTTCCTTAATGGTGAATGATGTGGAACATCTTTTCATGGGCTTATTTGCCTTTTGTTGAACTCCCTGTTTAAGTCCTTTCTTCAAAAAGTTGCTAGAGAGTTTTCCCCTGGCGTAGAATGTGGTTTGCTTGGGTAAATGCTGCATGTACATGAGAAGTGTGTCGTCCACCGTTTGGGGGTAGATTCCACTAAGTGTCAGTCAGTTGGTTAGTGGTCTTGTTAGTCTATTCTGTGTCCTTTTTGATTGTCTACTTGTCCTGTCAATTACTGAGATAGTTTACCATCTGGTGAATTTTCAAGTTCAGTTTTTTCTTTTCGAAAGTGTCTCTTCGTTTCTTCTTTATATCTTCTATTTCTCTGAGATTTTATATCTTCTCTTTTGTATCAAGTGTGTCCACCCTTCCTTGTTGGAACCTGTTTAAAGGCTTTTTCTGATAAGATTTTCATCGTCATCTTGAGGTACTGTCGATTTTATTTTCCCTTGAAGGCTGGAACTTCACTGGTGCTTCCGATGCAGAGTTATTTTAGCTTATATTATGCACATTTCGTATATAATGTTGGGGGTCTTGTTTGAATCCCAAGAAGAATGCTGCTGCTTTTGTGTCTGTGGGCTGTCCACACCTGCCATCCCTGTGCCTCGGGGGTCTGTGCTGAAGCCCTGGGTTCAGAGGGTCCGCGGTGCTCTAGAGGTACTGTGTGTGCCGCCGGCGCTCCTCCCTGGAGCCCAGTGACCAAAGCTCAGGCCCTGACCCCCTCGGCCCTCCTCCATGGTGGGGCCAGGTCCTGCACCACTTCATCAAAGTGCTCCCTTCTCTCTCTTCATAATCTCTGCAGGACTTGCCAGGCACCTCCCTTCCCTGTCTGCCTACAGCAGTGCCAGGGCTTGATTTCCCTCTGGTTGTGTGCATGTGGGACTCACTGGCCAGAAGATGGAGAGAGAAATAAAAGTGATGGGAACTTACTCTGTGGTTGTGGAGCCTCCGTCACTTGGGTGAGGGTGGTGACTTCTTGACCTTGGAGTTACGAGCCATGCCGCCATGCCGCCATCACGGCGCCGGTGCCCCGCTGTACTGCCCAGGGCTGGGCTGGAAGGTGAAAAGGAAGAACCTAAAGGACTCTCTGCCCTGCCCTGTCCTTCGTGGTCCCCCTTCCCGCTCCTCAGACCAGGAAGAGAGGGCTTCTGTTGGCACTCTGCCTGCCTGTACCCAGCGGCCCCTCCTGGCTCTAGGGTGCCTATCCGTTCAGGCACCTTCTCCAGCTTACTGTTTGAATCTTCAAGTAGCCGATCCATGCATTATAGCTGTGATTTACAGTTGCGGTCAGCAGGGAAGGTGGGCGGTGGGTTCTTTGTGCATCCTCCATGTTACCTAGAGTAGGAAATCATCATTTTTAAAAAGATTTTTAAAATTGATTTTATAGAGAGAGGAAGTGAGAGGCAGAGAGGGGATGGGGGGGTGTGGGGGAGAGAGGGAGAGGGAGAGAGAGAGAGAGAGAGAGATCAATGTGAGAGCAGGCATCGAGCAGCTGTTTCCTGCACGCCCCCTACCAGGGATTGGCCCACAACCTGGGCATGTGCCTTGACTGAGAATCAAACCAGCAAACTCCTGGTATACAGGATGCTCACATCAGATACTCCGTAGACTTTTATGTGTTAGGTGGATTAATGAATAAAATTCCCAGTTTTTGGCACAGGAAATAGTGTGTACTGACCATATTGAGGGGGTTTCGCATACTCTGTTCTCTTTGTCTGGGAGGTGTGTGCTTCCGCCCAGAAGCTTCCCTCCTCCCCTAGCTCTTCTCCAGATCCTTCCCTGCTGCTGGGCCTTTGCCCCTCCTCTCCGCCACACCTGACGATGATCTGTCCTCCAAAGACCTGCTCTGACCGAGATCTTCCAGGAAGCTTTCCTGGTCTTCCCTGTACTTCAGAAAGATAGGTCCAGGGAAGAAAAAGAGCCCAAACAGAAAGCAAGCAAGAACAAATATCAGCGCTATACTCAGTAAAGCTTAAAACAAAATTGTCCAAGGGATGTGGAAAGATAAACAGAGTAAGGACACTGTGGTGGGCCCGACAAGGTGAAGGCCCGCCAACAGGTCAACAGTTAGAAGCAGTGGAAACACTGGGTCTAGACGCCCCACCTCAGGGAGTCAGAGGCAGGACACCAGAACCACAGCCGATGTCTGTCCTGTGCAGCCAGGAGTGGGGACACAGATATCTGAACCTTCCCTTCCCTGCTCTAAAAGATCATCCATTTTCCTCCTCTGATAAATGTTTTATGAACTCCCTCTTTTCATGAAAGATTTCACTGTGATTAAAGATTTCATGAAGTTATGACAAAGGCAGAATAGATCATTCTTGAAAGCTCATTTTTCCGTGAGCTGAGTGAAGAGGCCTCTTGTAGGCAGCTGTCAGAGCTAATGAATATTTTCCAAGTGCCGAACCTCTGGGGAGGCACCCCCACCCAAAGAACCCAGGAGCAACTGGTGTGAACCTGCTCTTCTAAAGACGTGTGTCAGACAACATGTAGCAGTGGGGCAACAAGAGCCATGAAGCTGCCGCTCTACCTTTCTCCCTGGAGAGGAGGTTCCATGACACATTTGAAAAATTGGTATTTCACAGATGCCCTGTGGCCTTTTTATGTCTGTGCATGTGTGTGCACATGTATGTATATGTGTTCGTATATGTATGTGCATGCATGTGCATATGAGCATGCATTTGCGTATATGTGTGCACGTGTGTGTGTGCACACCCACAGACAAGTTACGGCACCCCTCTCCACCTCAGTTTCCTTCTCTGGAAAGAGCAGAGGACAAGGTTTGGGTTTGGAATCTGTTTTCATCTGGTATAATAGCAGGAGGGTTTTGAGTTCTAAGTCTTGAGTCTCAGTCATCTCCCGAGCCTCACTTTCTTCCCCATAAACAGGTCCAGGGAGGACAGCTCTGGGGTTATTGTGATGAAGTAACCTCACATGGGTGTTAGCCCTTCCTCCCCTTTCCTTTCCCAGCCACGAAGCCCTGTTTGCACTTCAGGAGATACACTTGAGAACTGAGGTGCCCCTGGCAGGGCCTGTTTGGAAGTCACACTGGGCTGAAATGACTCGAGCACACATCCTTTCCTGAGTTTTTCTTCTACGAAAAACTGCTGTTCCTGTTCCTCCAGGAAGGAGATGCGTCTGCCTCTGTTGCCGCCTCCTGCGTCTGCTCCTGCCGTGGGCTCGGCTGTCCCGTGTAGATCAACAAACATGTCGAAGACCCATCATGTGCCAGATGCAGTGCTTGGCATTTGGGAGCCTGTGTTGGTTTTAGGCAGCACTGAACTGTAACAGAGGCTGAACAAATGTTTTTTTGTTGTGTGTGTAGCTAATGAGTCCAGAGGGCGGGAGGCCGTGCGGGGCTGCACCCGCTGCTCAGGGATGTTACTCCGCAGATCCTGTTGGCCCCACGTGCCTCCCGCTTCCTGGCCCTAGGTGGTTGAAGAGACCTTCACGTCCCGTTTACGTCTAGGGAGGAAGGCCAGGGAACGGGGGAGGCCAAAGGGTGGGCGCCTCCTTCCCTCGGGACCTCGCCCTGTTTGGGATGGAAGGTCTCCTGCAGTCCGTTCCCACTGGCTGCAGCTTTGCCCCATGCGCCTCCCCTGGTCACAGGGTGCTTTCCTCTTTGTCATCTGCGGTAGGGGAGACGAAGGAGAGGAGGCTTGAAATGGGGGTGAGTGGGCGCTCCTCCAGAGCCTTCGCCCGGAGGAAGCGGGAGCCACAACATCAGCATCGGGCCGCTGTGCTCCACCGACCAGGCCCCACGGGCCTGGGGGCCTGCGAAACCCAGGGGGCATGGACGGGTGGGACTGTGACTTGGACGTGGCATTTACTGAGGGACGCTGTAGCCGATTGCCCTCCGGCTGCCTGTCTTCCTTACGTGTCAGGTATCCTGGTCCCCTCATGTATGAGGCTTGGAGAACTTGAGCTGCCTTCCCAGTCACATGGTTTGTGCAGGGCACAGCAGGGGTGTGAGTGTGTGACCGCAGGGCCAAGGAGGGCCACCAAGCCCACGTTTTAGGGTCCACAGTTTTGTTTGGAATGAGTCTCAGTCATCTTTGAGTCCAGGGCCACTTGACATTCTGGATAAATCATAGTTCTGACGTCCCCAAGTCAGAGAGTCTCCGGGGATGAGAAAGAGGCGAAGTCACTCCCCTCTGAGGCTGTCAGATGATTCTGAGCTTCTCGTCTTTTCTCTGCAGCACCCGGCAGTGCCACCTGCTCCTGGATGTCTTCAACTCCATGGAGCACGAGGTGACAGTCAGCGCCCGCAGCAACGAGGAGCTCACCCTGCACGCTGGGGAGTGCCAGCGGTAAGTGTCCCCGCATCCCCACACCTTCCCCCTTGTCCCCCCATCCTTCCTCCTAGTCCCGTGTCCTTCCCCCGTCCTCATATCCCTTCCCCCTGTCCCCGTGCTCTTCCCCCAGTCTCCATGTCCTTCCCCCAGTCCCTGCGTCCTTCCCTCCATCCCCGGGTCCTTCCCCCTGTCCCCTCGTCCTTCCCCCGTCCCCGTGTCCTTCCCTCTTGTCCCCGCGTCCTTTCCCCTGTCCCCTTGTCCTTCTCCCAGTCCCCATGTCCTTCCCTCAGTCCCCGTGTCCTTCCCCCCGTCCCCGGGTCCTTCCCCCTGTCTCCTCGTCCTTCCCCCTGTCCCCGCGTCCTTCCCCCTTGTCCCCACATCCTTTCCCCTTGTCCCTGTGTCCTTCCCCCTTTCCCCGCGTCTTTCCCCCTTTCCCTGCGTCTTTCCCCCTGTCCCCGTGTCCTTCCCCCTGTCCCTGCGTCCTTCTGTGCTCCCTCTTCCATCAGAAGGCACCGAGTGTCTGCTGCTTCTTTCACTCTCCTCAGGTGTGATTTTTTTAAACATCTCCATTCACATTTCTCTTCCTGTGGGGAAAGCCATGTAAGAACAGTGTGGGATTTTGTTCCATGCAGAACTGCCTTCTCGGTTCTGTGAGTTTGGGCTCACCCCCACATCAGAGTTGTGCACTAGATGTTTTAGAAGCTGGTAGAGATGGAAGTGAGCTTTTACCCTGTTTGATGTGTTTCATTGAAGTCTCTCCCAAGTTTTTGGTGGTGGTTGTGGGCATGGGAACAGGTGTCAATAGGGCCCATTATTTTATGCTAGAAATTTACAATATATAGCTGTACGTTGACATTCACTCATACTTTTATTCAACATTTATGAAAAGCGTATCATCTTGCCAGGTGTGCTTGGTCCTGGGAAACAGCTGAAAGCAGGCACCACTCTTTGTGTACAGAGCCTAGGCTCCCGGTGGCCCTCTCATTCTCAGCCTGGATTTGGTGCAGGGCCCATGAGCAGGGGCTCATCCCCTCACCAGGCTTGGGGGGAGCTGGGGATGGCTGGGCCAGGTGCTGTGATGGGTGCTGTGCAGCCTCCACACTGTTGGTCTGCCTCACTTCCTCATGGCTGTTTATCGGTGGTCAGCGTAAGGAAATTCTTTTATTTCCAATTACTCGTCCTTTGTTCCGCTGACAGCAGACCCCTACTTAACATGGTGCTCCTCCCTCCCCTGTGGGATGCTTCTGTTTTAAAAGTAATTGCACTGTTTGTGTTGGCTTCTTGTGCTAGGGGATGTCTCTGGAACAGGGAAGGTGAGGCCGTGCTTGATGAATGCTAACAGGCACCCCGATAGGAAAGCCCTAGCTGTCAGTGCCTCTGAGGCTCTCCGAGGCAGCAGACAAAGCTGCTGTGCTTCGGGAACCTTCGTTCTTGGAAAACATTTCACTATTAGAAACTCACGAAGGCATCACTTCCTGCTCACTGGGACCTCAGGACTGTCTCTGAGGGTCTTCAGAGGAGGCGGGGCCCAAGCTGCCGCTTCTCCCGTGCCTTCAGCCTGGGGGAACAGGAGGCTGTAACCTTAGAGGACATGCTTGCTGGTGTGGCGGGCTACCGAGGGCACATTCCAGAGCACACGCGAGCGCCTAAGCACCTGCTTTCCACTCGCTTTCCTGAGTTCAGGGCGCTGGGCGGTGGCTCCGTATAGCTACAAGCTGTGTAGAAGGGGGGTGGGCAGCGCCTGCCCCAGGGAGTGCCTGCTCTTGGGGACCAAGAAAGGCCAGTCAGCAGGTACCACCAGCCGGGCCGGATCGGAGCAGACGCAGTCTGGAGGGCCCAGGGCAGTGCAGACAGAGCCCAAAGCCGGCACCCCGCCCCGCCTTCACTGGAGCAGTGGAAGTGACAGTGCCACCTATGCTCAGTCCCAGGGGACCTGTCAGGAGCGGTTTGGATAATTTCGTGGGCAGCATTTTGTGGCTGCTGTCTCAGAGCCATCTTTTCCAGAGCATGCATTTGTGGTGCTGGGGTCAAAGTTCCTGTTAGTGTTTTCGGAAAATGAAAAGCCCAGCTCTACAGGACACTGTATCTCTTAAAGCACTCTGCAAATTTTGGAAAACACAATCTTGCCATGTTTGTTTTTCTTCTTTAATCTCTCAGTGTTTCCTGAACTATTCTTAGTGCCATTTTAGAGACACAGGTCTTCTGAATATGTCTAATGATTGTCCTGAAAATAAAAAACAAACACCCTCCTAACTCGACTAGACTCTGGAATTAGTTGGAAAGGTCTTGGCGATCCCCAAAGCCCAGACCCCTCCCAACAGATGAGGCCCTGAGGCCCTGAGAAGGCAAAGAGGCTGTTCCAGGGCCTCAGGGCCAGCTGGTGGAAGAGCAGGACTCGACCTGGTTTTCTGATCATATATCCAGGGCTGTGGGTTCCTGGCAGGGGTGGGCCAGGCATCTCTGAGAGGCGTCCTCTCAGAATCCAGTGCCAGCCGATTCTCCATGCTGTGCCCTCTTGTCCTGCAGGGACAGATTGCCCTCTTCTGTCTGTCCTGGGACTCTCTACCCATTCTCCCCAACCACTGTGGGCCTCCTCTCTGCCAGGTACCTTCCTGACCTGAGATGCTTCCTTTCTTCTCTTTGTCCCCAACATCTTGTACCTGCCCCTGTTGTCAGGGTTACACTCTGCTATTACTGTGTGTCTGTAGGTGTCGGTCCCCAGAAGTCTGGGAACACAGGAGCAGGGGCCATGCCTGATTAATTTCCTCTCCTCATGGCCCAGTGCAGTAGCTAGTGGGTAACAAATGTGGTAGCAGAATTATGCCCCCCAAAGACATCTACACCCTAAGCCCCCAAACCTGTGAACATGTTCCTTACAAGCAAAAGGATTGCTGGTGGATTAAGTTCAGGACCTTGAGGTGGGGAGATGATCCTGGTGTCATAGTCCATGAGGGCTGCTGTAGCAAAGGGACAGGTCTCTGTCCTCATGGGCTCATGTTCTAGTGGGAAGCTCACCGCAGAGCAGTGTGGAGGTGGGGAGGTGAGGGAGTGAGGGAGATGCCAGGACAGTCCCTCAGATCTTGGGCACAGAAACACTTCAGATTTTATTCAGAGCCAAGAAGTTGCTGGTGGGTTTTGAGCAGAAGGACTCGCATTACCTGACCAACACTATTCAAGGGGACAGACAGCCGGTAGGCCCAGGAATGGGTGTCACCCGGGTCTCTGTGGCTCCAAAGCCTGGGCACTTCCCTTACATCTGAGGCTTCCAGAAGCTCTGACTGTCCTTGCACTGTTGGAGGTGGCATCTCATGAAGTGGCCTTTCAGGGTGCTGGCCAAGGTAAAATATTCCCCCACTTTCCCCTTGCCCCCTGAGGGCGTGGCTCCCTGTGTCCACAGGTATTCAGGAACCTTCCGAGTGGGCCTCAGGCCATGTGGGCCCCTCTCCCTCTGTTTTTGGGTGATACCGTGAAATGTTGAGGTTTTCATGAAAATGAGCACACCTCACTGCAAAGCCGTTGGGTGATGTGTGACAGGACCGTGAAAGCAGTGGAGTCGTTGGCGCGCTCCGCCAGCCACTCCCCTGAGCAGTATCCGAGCCTCGGCCGAGCATGGCGCACAAGGATGTTTACGTCTGTTACTTGTAGAAACATAGGGAACAACCAAAGTGTCGACAACAGGGCATGATTAGTGAATTGCGGTGCATTTGTGTAATTGACTATGTGCAGCTACCAGAAATTACATTTCCGTAGAATTTGTAATGTGCTTAGTTGTCACAATGACAACAGTGAAGCAGCAGACACAGGCAGGGGAGACAAGCCCCTTAGATTGGGGGGGAAGGAAACACCCTCATGGACACAGCCAGCCTCCAGCATCCCAGAGTGAGCATCTCTCTCTCCCTCACCCTTCCTCTCTCTGAAATCAATAAAAACATAGTAAACAAACAAACAAACATACAAACAACCAGGTGAGTTTTCCTGAGTTTCAGGGCTGTGCTGGGTGCTGTAAGGATATCAAACTGACTCAGGATCAGCTGACCATGAAGCTGCCATCTAAGGAGGGAACAAGATATGATGCACAGGGACAGCAGGGAGATGGCAGCTGCCTGGACATAGGGGTCAGCACACTGGTCTGAGAGGAGAGCCCTCAGGCCCCCTGGGGTGAGGAGCTGCATGAGCCTCATGGAGGGTTTGAGCTCAGCCTTGTGAAACGGCGGGCTTCCAGCATGCTGAGATAATGGGGGAACGTTAAGAAAAGGCATTGAGGTTGAAAAAGGGGGCTGTTTAGTTGTCCGGCTGAATAGTACCAATGCTCACGTGCTGGCTGAGGAAGCTCGAAGTTTATCGTCAGGAAAAGGGTGTTTCCAGCATTGGTCCTGGCCCCTGGGGACCAAGGGCCTGGGATGGCCTCCCCCGGGCCACCTTCAGTCTGGCTCTGTTCTTGCCCCTGTGCCTCTTTTACTGTCCACTTCCGCCTGTGGGGAGCCTTGGCTGCCAGGGGCCTGGCTGTGGCCCCAGCTCAGCGTGTCCTTCAGCTCAGACCCTCATCACCAGCTGACTCGAGTCCGTGATGGGCATTGCCTGGCATTCAGGCCCTTGTGTGGTGGGCTGACTTGACTATGCTGCAGTTCATACCAGAAGGGGCAGAGTGAGCAGGCAGCTTGTCCAGCTGACTCGGCTCCTCCATTCTGCTTGAAAACAAGTCCCCTGGCTGAGCTTCTGCTTCGGGTGAGTGCACCTGATGCTGGAGCCTCTGACGCTTGCCTCTCCTCTCTCTCTGCACATCGGTGAGGCAGAGGGAGCAGCCACATGTCCTGAGTGCATGTATGCTGGGCACCAGACAGGCACATTGCCACTCGACACCACTGGTTCAGGGGTTGCCCTCCAGTGTATCACGGAGGGATGGAAGTACAGAGGTTTCTCCTAGGTCTGAGCAGTTGGTTGCCGCGGGCCCTGCCTCCCTCTGCCAGACTCCATGTTCTTGTTCTCTGTAGGACGTCCATCATCTCCTCACTGCC